CTCAGGGATGTAAGGACGGTGCAACATTCGAAAATCCATCAACATCATCCACATCAACAAAGCAGAGAGAAACCACATGATCATCTCCATAGATGCTGAAAAAGCATTCAACAAAATTCAACATCCATTGATGATAAAAACTCTCAACAAAATGGGTACAGAGGGCAAGTACCTCAAAATAATAAAGGTCATATACGACAAACCCACAGCCAACATCATACTTAACAGCGAGAAGCTGAAAGCTTTTCCTCTAAGATCGGGAACAAGACAGGGATGCTCACTCTCCCCACTGTTATTCAACATAGTACTGGTGGTCCTAGCAATGGCAATCAGACAAAACAAAGAAATACAAGGCATCCAGATTGGTAAAGAGGAAGTCAAACTGTCACTATTTGCAGATGACATGATAGTGCACATAAAAATACCTAAAAACTCCATTCCAAAACTACTAGAACCAATATCTGAATTCAGCAAAGTTGAAGGATACAAAATTAATACACACAAATCTATTCCTCTCCTATACACTAATGAGGAATTAACAGAAAGAGAAATCAGGAAAACAATTCCATTCACAGCTGCACCAAAAAGAATAAAATACCTAGGAATAAACCTAACCAAGGAAGTGAAAGACCTATACCCTGAAAACTACAACACACTCAAGAGAAATTAAAGAGGACACTAACAAATGGAAACTCATTCCATGCTCTTGGATAGGAAGAATAAATATTGTCAAAATGGCCATCCTGCCTAAAGCAATCTACAAATTAAATGCAATGCCTGTCAAAATACCAACAACATTGTTCAACGAACTGGAAGAAATAGTTTTAAAATTCATATGGAACCAAAAAAGACCCCAAATAGCCAAAGCAATCCTGAGAAGGAAGAATAAAGCATAGGGATCTCACTTCCCAACTTCAAGCTCTACTACAAAGCCACAGTCATCAAGACAATTTGGTACTGGCACAAGAACAGACCCACAGATCAGTGGAACAGAATAGAGTCCAGATATTAACCCAAACATATACGGTCAATTAATATATGATAAAGGAGCCATGGACATACAATGGGGAAATGACAGCCTCTTCAACAGCTAGAGTTGGCAAAACTGGACAGCTACATGTAAGAGAATGAACCTGGATCATTGTCTAACCACATACACAAAAGTAAATTTGAAATGGATCAAAGACCTGAATGTAAGTCATGAAACCATAAAACTCTTGGAGGAAAACATAGGCAAAAATGTCTTGGACATAAACATGAGTGACTTCTTCATGAACATATCTCCCTGGACAAGGGAAACAAAAGCACAAATGAACAAGTGGGACTATATCAAGCTGAAAAGCTTCTGTACAGTAAAGGACACCATCAAGAGAACAAAAAGGCATCCTACAGTATGGGAGAATATATTCATAAATGACAGATCCAATAAAGGGTTGACATCCAAAATATATAAAGAGCTCACGCACCCCAACACACAAACAGCAAATAATCCAATTAAAAAATGGGCAGATGAGCTGAACAGACACTTCTCCAAAGAAATTCAGATGGCCAACAGACACATGAAAAGATGCTTCACATTGCTAGTCATCAGAGAAATGCAAAGCAAAACCACAATGAGATATCACCTCACACCAGTAAGGATGGCTACCATCCAAGAGACAGACAACAAATGTTGGCGAGGTTGTGGAGAAAGGGGAACCCTCCTACACTGCTGCTGGTGGGAGTGTAAATTAGTTCAACCATTGTGGAAAGCAGTATGGAGGTTCCTCAAAAAGCTCAAAATAGAAATACCATTTGACCCAGGAATCCCACTCTAGGAATTTACCCTAAGAATGCAGCAGCCCAGTTTGAAAAAGACAGATGCACCCCTATGTTTATCGCAGCACTATTTACAATAGCCAAGAAATGGAAGCAACCTAAGTGTCCATCAGTAGATGAATGGATAAAGAAGATGTGGTACGTATACACAATGGAATATTATTTAGCCATAAGAAAACTGATCCTACCATTTGCAACAACATGGATGGAGCTAGAGGGTATTATGCTCACTGAAATAAGCCAAGTGGAGAAAGACAAATACCAAATGATTTCACTCATATGTGGAGTGTAAGAACAATAAAAAACTGAGGAACAAAACAACAGCAGAATCACAGAACCCAAGAATGGACTAACAGATACCAAAGGGAGAGGGAATGCAGAGGATGGGTGGGAAGGGAGGGATAAGTGGGGAGGATGAAAGGGGGCATTATGATTAGCATGTATAATGTAGGGGGAGGCATGGGGAGGGCTGTGCAACACAGAGAATACAAGTAGTGATTCTACAGCATCTTACTACACTGATGGACAGTGACTGTAATGGGTTATGTGGGGGGTACTTGGTGATGGGGGGAGTCTAGTAAACATAATGTTCCTCATGTAATTGTAGATTAATGATACCAAAAGAAAAAAAAGAAAAACAAGAAGAAAAAAAAAAGAGAAGAAGGAGCCTAGAGCAGACCCTGGAGGCATACCAGTATTTCAATAAAGATTAGAGGAAGAACAGCAAAGAGGAATGTGAAAGAATGTTCAATGAGATAGGAAGAAAATTAAGAGCATGTTTCATTGAAGGCAACAGAGAAACCACCACATTAAGAATGAAGGAAAGGGATGGTCAACCACACTAAATACATCAGATATGCTGAAAAAAGTAAGGTCACAGAACTGTCCAATGCATTTGCTATATGGAAGTTAATGTTTGTCTATGTTGATAAACAGTTTCAGAGCAACCCAAGTCAGACTGGACCTATACACCTCAGGAGAAGCAACTAAAAAATTCTTCATTTAATGAACTAATTATACTGGCCTTTTATAAAATTAATATTTAGCAATCATAGCAGCTACATATGAAAAAAATATAACATGAAACAATTCATTCACAATTACCTAAAAATCTAGGTGTAACTAAGAAATGTGTGGAGATCCTCATAAAGAAAATCCTAAACTTTGCTGAGACAATAAAGGTGCAAAATAAATGGAGATACACCAGAGCTCTAACTAGAATGACTACCTAAGTTCATTCATATCCATTCAATAAACTGAGTGCTTACTTCTAATGATTCTAGGCACTTGAAATGGATCTGCAAATAAAACATATGAGGGTCAAACCTGGCATTCATAATTATTTGACTTCAATGGGAATATCACTTGTTTCACCATTGAACATGGTGTTGGGTGTTGACTAATACAGGCTCTAAATAAAGTATCCTACTTACCTATTTTCTTTCCTTTTCCAAGAATTTTATTAAAAGTGTTTTCTCCTTTTAACTGTTGATGTCTTCTATTGTTTTCTAACATCAATCCATTACTGAATTTCCACAATTTACTTTATTAGGGTATATTCTTTTAATTACTGATGGGTTTGGTATGTTAGCATTTTATTTGGGGTTTCTATATTTATACTGAAACTTTGGCTATATTCCACTAGCTTTATATGTATTTTATTCAATTTTAATCTAAAGTTTTATTTTTACATTAATAAAATGCATTCTTGGTCAAAGAAACCAGTCATGCATAGTAAATGTACAAATGTCCAGATCATATAAAATACACCTGACAAGATAACTAACTTTGATTTTGGATTGTGAAATAGCTCTGGGAATGTTCAACTGTGTATGTACTATTCTGTCCAGGTAAATTAATAGCAACTCAATAGTTATTTAGGAAAATATTTCTATTTTCAAATGATTAGGTGTTTCTGGTTAAAAGTGTATTAATAATTCCTAGATACACTTGGGTTAAGTAATGACCTATATAACTCCTGCTTTTAATAATTTCCTGAGACTTTCTGTAGTCTAATAAGTGATTTGTATACATGTTCCATCACATTTAAAAAAAGCTATTGTTTATAAGGTACCAAATTGCATTAACTTTACTAATTATTTATTTTTAGTTGCTCCAACTTAAGACTTACATTAATATGTCATATACTGATTAAAACTTGTAACATGTAATGACCTCTTAACAGTGGGGTTTTTTTTTGCCTTGAATTGTTTGAAATATTCCCAACCCTGCTTCATGCTTAATTTTGCTGATCATGATTTGTGTACTATTCATTTTGATTCTCCATTAATTCCTCCTATTAAATCATTTGCTAATCAATTGTAGTACACTTTCAGTAAACTTAGTTTAAAAGAGGTTTGGGTGTTCTATTTATTTTTTCAGTTGTCCTACACTATCTATATCTTGACTAGTCTAGATACCGGTTTTAACTTCTCCCCCAGAAGTCCAGAAGCATTGCTACACTGTTTCCTCATGGCCATCATTATGAAGAAGTCTGTTTCTTGGTATTTTTGTTTTCTCCAATTGCAGACCACATACAACTTGCATATATCAAGTTAATGCTTATTTCTCAGAGTCCTACAGCTTTTCACCTTCATTCACAGTTCTGTTTCCCCTATGTTTTTAGAAAATGTGATCTACCACAAACCAATTCAAAAATCACTTGCTCTAAGACACATTCCTAGGATCCACATTGGTCAGAATTAACCTTTTCTTACCTAAATTTATGCCATTGTTGAACTACCATAGCACTGACATCTACAGTGTACTATCAGAAAATTATCTACTGAGTGGTTTTAAGTAGATTCTGGAGTCAGACCACCTGAGCTCAAATTCTAAATCTGCCACTAGCTAGCTGTGTGACCATCAGTAAGTCATTGGGCTCTCTGTGCCCTGTGAACTTATCTGCAAAATGATAACAGTATGTGGCTCTTAGAATAGTTTTGATGATTGAATGAGCTATTATATGCAAAATATCTAGACCATGCTCTAGAATATAGGAAGTGTTTTGTGAAGCCATACATACATATACAGGTATATGTGGTGTGCTCTCCATCTGTGGTGAGAGAAATTATTACAAGAGAATGAAACAGGTGCTATTATAGAGGTAAAAGTATTCAAACGATGGTACAATTTAAAATGAATTAAATATGATCAGCTTAGGGAAGCAATGGCATTTCAACTAAATCCAAAATATTTTAATTGTATAGCATTTTAAAAGCACTTTCACATGCACTAGCTCATTTAATCCTTACAACTTTGTGAGAGTGTCTTATTTTATGGAGCCAGAAGTCAAGGTTGGCTAACTCAAATTAGGTTCAATAAGCTAGAAACTGAGAATCAAGATTAAAAGATAATCGTTCTAAAAGGTCGCCTTCTATACACCTGCATTTTTCCAAGAAAGAGCAATGGAAAAGCAACAGACAGACTGGAACAGATGGGGACCAAGAGTAGAGAACAGTATTTAAAGCTTTGGAAACAGCTTAAATAAAAGAATGGTGGAGTGAAATTACATGGCATTCTAAGTAAACTGACAGTAGTGCACTACAGATGGAACACAGCACAATGCCTTGCAAACTAAACATTCGGCTGAACTGAATTATTTCAAATGATAGCCCTCAATTCAGCAATTATTTGTGGCAAATAATCCCTAGGCTTCTCAACTAAATTAACAACTTTACCAACTGACAATTGATTTTGAAACAGACAACTTAAGTTTCCTAATTTTGGGGATAAAGCAAGGAATACCAATTGAATTATGTTAATGTTACTCTTAAGTGCTAAGAAAGTTGCATATAATTCATGTTATGTTATTAACCATCTGTGAAACCTTTGGAAAGTCACTTAATTTCTCTGGATTACAGCTCTTCATATTTACAAAATATTGTTCATGTTTTAAAGGAGTTTAAGTAGGACTCTGAAACTCTGTTATTAACAACAACATCATCATCTACGTATTTTCACACATTTGAATTACCTCTCTTATACTTCTAAAATCACATGTAATAACAGGTATTGAAGGTAACTCAGAAGGTAACTCAGTCTTATCAATCATATATAAATAAAATAACTTTTAAATCAACATATTATATCTATTCAATCTTTCAGCGTATATTTTGAGCAGAATGGAAAGGTCTATCACAGGTCAATGTAAGAAATACATATGTCAAAATCAATGTATTTATTAATATTTGATAGTTACAAGCCTCATCATTAAAATTCCTTTCATTGTTCCGCCAGTGAAATTAAAGTAATCCCAAAGTCCTGAATCAAATGTTTGTTAGTTTTCCATCAGCTGTGATTTGTCTTCTTTCGGTCTATTCAGTAGAAATTGAACTATCTGAAGTAGTACATTGTCATCAAAACCTTTCACATCATTATCTTCGATTGTTTCATAAAGAGGCTTACTTTGTGTTCCCCAACATATATTTTTACGAGGGTTATTTTGGTCAGCTTGTTTAGTCAGTGCCAAAGTATTTAACTGGTAGCAGAAAAAGGAAAAGTACTTTCCGTCTGTAATCACACCCTGAGAGACAAAAGGCCGAGTAACATCTGCTTCACTCCAGAATCCTAGAGAAGAAAATTATGCTGAAATTTACACACAGAATACATTTTACCAAAACAAAACATACACATTAGAGGGCATGAAATACCTACTAAAACATAGATAGTTTATGTATCAAATTCCTGAAGACCTTAGTTTTAATCCTATATTCCACTTCTGCATCAAGAATTATTTCCTTCCTTCTTTCAACACTCCAAATCTGATCCCAGCTCAGGAATTTTAGTGGCCATTCCTTTTGCCTGCAAGTGTCTTTTCCCCAGGTTTGTGCTTAGACAGCTCCTCACCATTCAGGTCTCTGTTCAAATTGTCATTTTTTTTAGAGAACTCCCCTGAATTACCCTAGATTCTGCCCCGCACCTCATTTATACCTATCTCCCATAAATCATTCTAGTGCTTCTCTAGTGTATTTCCTCCATAGCAGTACCACTACCAAAAATAATTACATATTTATAATATTTTACTCTTTTCACTGTAATGCAAGTTCCAGAAGACCAAGGACTGGCTGTCTCATTCAATGCTATGTCCAAGGGGAAAACAGTGCTGGGTACATAAAAAGCACTTGCTATTTACTGAATGAATGAACAATCTCCTAGTCTATATTCTGGATAAGGCCTTCAAAAAATTATGTAAGGACAGTTGTGATTTAATCTAAAATGTAATCCATGAAAGCAGTTCTTTTCATAGCTTCAGAACACTGCTATCACCTACAGAGTCTACTTAGTTCACTATATAGTCTTTGAACTGCTTAAGAACACAATCAGAAAGAAATACATCCACACAAAAGCAGGCCAAGTAAATGATCAATGTAACTACCTAAGTGCAACTTGCCAATTGCAAATGTAAAATATTTAATTACGGATTTTAAAACAAATGTATTTTGTACCACTGTAAAAGTTTTCAAAAAGTTAAGTCAACATACCCAAAGAAAACAATCTGAACTACTGAATTCTTAAAATATCATCATCTTCCAAGAATAAATCCATAAAAGTTTTACCTTGATACATAGCTTGTGCTCCAGTCCAAGCAAAAAGGCTTGCAATAGCATTAGCTCTAAAAACAACTTCTATCTGATCAGCACAGTTTTGTTTCAAAAGCCTTTCTCTTTTTAATTTTTCAGGTAACAGATGAAACTGGGTATGACCATAACAATACGGATCTGCTGTCTTTGAGCCTGAAGAGCAAAAGAAAAAACATTTCAGATGAACATCTGGGGCATATGTCCTTAGTATTTGCTTCAAATCCATCTTTCGCCTCTATATATCACATGATCAGTATTCACAATACACAATGGGAAGGTTGGTTAACTTATTTTATTGATAATATTATAATAAAAATCATGCCAGAAAGTACAATCTGCTAGCTATCATCAAGCCCACTGTGACACAGGGTAAGTCAAAAGATTATATGTAAAATTTATTTTAAATTCCATATTATTTAAACCTCTTAGTCATCACTGGAAAATTTGTTATTCACCAAAAGATAGAAACATTTCATGACTTTAAAAACTTCCTTTATTATTTTAAGGTAATAATTACATACCTTGTTCCTAATTTAAAAACTAAAATTTGATTTTATACTATCTTTCTAAGTAAAGAAAATAAAGGCCAATTATCTCATGAAATGTTGACATTCTTGACGTTTAGTTGAAATGTCTTCTCAACCAAAAGTGCCCCAGAATTCACCCTCTAAGATCACAGTGATTAAGAAGGAGTTGATACAATAGGTCTGGAGGACTAGTACAGAGCTACTTCCTTAAAATCTTCCTCAAGTCAGCTAGGAATTAACTGACAAAAGAAAAAAATAGCAGAAGAAAAAGCTGCAGGAAGGGCAGCCATTAGGCCTTATTAATTTTTATATCCCTGATGGTTACACCGTGGCACAAATGGGAGTGTTTTGTAAAAAAGCCAATCACTGCTCAAGTTCAGTTCTTTACTTGCTTAGAATAGACTTGTCTATACTTTTGAAAAAACACAAATTACTTTTTCTACATAATGCATCAACAGAGCCAAATAACTATTTTTTAAAGTTAAACACTGCTAATTTAGGAGAAACAAAATTTAAATGGTGAACTGAAATAACATTTTCTTTTCTATGTTCATGTATATGGCAACAACCTGAGGTTATGAATTATATTGCCATGGACTTTCTGAATCTCTTGGTCATCAAAAAATAATTTTGCAAATCTGCACAGAACACTGGACACCATTATGGCACAATATATCAAAAGAGCAGCTTACCAATAAATATGGTATTTTCATACTGTCGTTTGAATAATGGAAGTTTGTCTGGCTTACAGTTCATAGCAGGGATTTCTATGGGTACAGAATAATCCAGAGGCACAAACTTAAAGAAAAAAAAGTGTTAAGTGAATTTACAGCAACACTAGTATATATTTCACTCACATTAACATATATAAAAACCTTAAAATGAGATGTTTTTTACAAAATGATTTGCTAACACTACCACCTAATGATAAGCCAAATACAGCCAGCAACCTGTTTTTACAAATAAAGTTTCATTGGAATACAATCATGCGCATTCATTTATATATGGTGCTGCTTTTACACTGCAACAGAGACTTAGGGCCCCCAGAGCCTAAAATATTTACTATCTGGATCTTTACAGAAATAATCTGCCAACCTCTGACATGGACACACAGGCAACACTCAAGGTACACTTGTTTTCTACAAAATAACTATAAAGAATAAATTGACCAGCTAATAATTATAAAAATGCCCTGACTTATGTTTCAGTTGTGTAGACTACTGTAAAATACAATCATAAACTACTTACAGTTTTCTATATATTTATATTAAGAAAAAGATAAGATTTGTATGGTCCTGAAAACTGATGGCTTAACCTCACTTAAAATGGTTGACCTCTGAGGAATATATATATATATATCATTCAGGTTAAAAAGCTGGAAAGAATATTAGGTGAGAAATATTGTTAACAAACTTGAAACGAAAGGGATCCATCCAAAACTTTTTATCCTACCAAGTCCATTACCCAGCCTTTTTATCTTCCTCACCAGGTATCAACAGATATAGATAAAATAAATCCTTACCTCTGGGAGTTGTTTGGATATTCGAATCTGGTTGTGTGGTTTATCATTTATTTGGTATCGCAAAGCATCAATATGACCTTTCCGATGACCACAAGGAATAATTTCTTCACCACGCAACCAATAAAAGTGAACTGGGCGTTTATAATCTATCAAAAGATATTAGAAAGGTTATCTGATCATTTAAGTAAGTTTGGTTATGATTAAAATACGAAACTCAGCAATACCGAACTCAAGCATGATTGTACTAATTAAAAATGTATCAAATTATTCTTTGATATAAGATAGTCACGGTTATGTGATAATTTAACTTGAATGTTCGTGGCTGAAATAGCATGCTCAAACATTTACTGCTTACTTGTGCCGTCAGTAAACTAAACACTGTAACCAAAGCGATTTCTCATCTAAGCACAAACATAAAAAGAATAAGACCAACAAGAATATCGTTCACCAGAAATATAAACTCTAATAGTAGTCAGAACTGTGTCATGAATTACTAATTCAATATTCACAGTAACTCTCAAAGGTATGTATATCTCCATTTTATGAAAAGGAACCTGGATCTTAAGACTAAGTAAATTTTCCTAGGCCACCAATCAAGAGTAGTCCAAGTCCATGGTGCTTCCCCTCAAGACCACTTCCTTCCCAACTGCAAGGGAAGTAAAGAAACATGGACACTACAAGACTCAGCTGAACACGTTATCTACAGTTGTAATATTAATTCAATAAATATTTATTAAGATCCCTACTGGCTGGTTGACACAAAATGATGAACACATCAGAAACACAGTTTTTAAAAACTGTCTTTCTGCTCATTATTTTCATGTCTGCAGCGAACAGTTATAAATATAAGTTGCTCATTATTTAAATGGGAACCCAGAATGGCTTGGGTTTGAATTCTGCCCTCCAAATCTATCAGCTATAAGCTCTTTGACTAGATAAACTTTGTTTCTATGCCTCAGGGTTTTGTTTAGTTTTGTTTTTCTATTTATAAAATAATGCTACCTATTGTAAACAGTTATAGTGAGGATTAAATTGGTTGGCACTTTGCAACAGGGCCAAACTACCGAATAAAGGTTAGGCAGATTAATCACTATCACCTTTAATTTTCACAATTCGCTTACGGGAGCCCTATTATCGTAATTCTTATCTTGAAAATCGGAAAAATTAGGCTGAAAGAGGTTAATGAATTGACATGGTTTAACTTCTTGGTAGAAAAACCAAAAGGCAACCCAAGTCTGTCCCACCCTCTGAGAACTCATTCTCTTAACCAACAGCTCTTCTATTTGGCTGGATCTTCATAAAGCAGATTTAAGGCCTGGGGTTTGGGAGCGAGGTGCAGCTGGTAGGCGGCAGCACAGGGACGGGAACCCAGTCTCCACACTCAGAGCACCGCGACTGCTACTAAACCAGACTGGCCCTAGCCAGAGGCGAGGGGCCAGAAAAGAACAGACAGAACAGAGAGGGCAGCTCTGGGGCAGCGTCTCCCAAATCCCCCACCTCCTCCGTCCGGTTAGAGATCCCAAGGCTCACCAAGGGAGGCTGCTGCCAGGGTCGGGTTGTGCGCGCTGAGCAGGCCCACAAGGGCGGCCGCCAGCTGATCCAGGAAGGTCGAGGCGACGGCCTCACGCTCCCGGAAGAGGGGTGCCCGCCGCCGGCGCCGCAGGTAGAAGTGCTCTTGCAAGAGGCAGTCAAAGGCGGCGGCGCGCAGGGCCGCAAGGTCCAGGGAGGGCCCCTGCTCCGGCTCGGCGGGCGGCGGCGGGAGGCCTGACAGGAAAACAGTCTTGGTGAAGCCCTGATACCAGCGGTCAGCGTTCAGGCTGAAGGTCTGGGGGTAAACCACGTACTTCATGAACTGCATCTTGGTGAGGATTCGCAGCTTCTCGTCCACCGCCGCGGCCGCGTGCACCGCCGCCTGCCAGCGCTCCACTCGCCGCTGCCGAGCCGCTTTGCTCTTGGCAGTCAGAGAGGCCAAAACGGGCGGGTAGCGCGCGACAGGGGCCGCCGGGACATCGGGGCCGGTCACCTCTGGAGCTGTGACGGCGGCCTCAGCTGAGGTGTGCAATGACGGCCCCTGACCGCGGAGGACAAGCCTCCAGGTCCTGGCCGCCGCCATCTTCGCTCGGCGTTCCGGAGCCAGAGGCTGACTTTAACAATTGTCCCTGCCCGCCTGCCGTATCGCCCAATCGAAAAGCGGTATCAGCCACGCTTGGGGAGGCCGATTCTTACTGGGCTTGAGATATGCAGCGTCATCCAGTTTTTAGCCAATCAGGCCACTTCTCCATCTTGGTTTATCGTGGTCCGGAGCGTCTGTAGTTCAAAGGAGGTACTTAAGCGTCAATAGGTTTTTCACTGGTTTGGCGGGAAGGAATGAAACTTTGAAATAGGAGATTCTGCCACTTAGGAGCAACCCTTCCAACAGGTGCAACCCTCTTGCCAGAAACCATTTAGGACCATTCTGCATGAAACCTCTAGCCTTTGGCTGTATCTGTTGGTTTCATTGTTATATGGCGCACGCCACTTTTCTGTTTGAGTTCTTGGAGTTGAAACTTGTTATTGAAAATACTGTTCTTGCATGTGTTTTGATAATACATGCTTATTTTTTAAATGATGCACGCATCACTTACAGATGACCATTGCTAATCTTTAGGAAAATAGTTTTATATATTTATCTATGCTAAGTGCTATAATAATTTGTTTGATGATACGATTTACAAAAAGGAAAATTCTTGTATTTAGTTGAAAAAAGGGAAACAACAGAAATAAAAAAACTACTAAGGAATTGTGTTTAAATTTTCCTTTGTGTTAAAATCCATTATTTCAGAATGTCCATTCCTACTAAACTATGAGTTCCTTTAAGTAGGACCTGTTTTATTTTTTAATTCTCAGCAACCAATCAATAGCTATGCAGAGTGTGTCATCCCTAAATGTCTGCTGGAAAAAGTCACCTTAAAATCTAAGCTCATTTCAGGAACTCTAGTTATAGACTCACTGTCATATTATAATTAGGAACTGGAAAAATATTTACTTGGCTATATTGCAATAATTCTTAAGGGTGTTGCAAACCAAACATTTTGTTGCTAAAAGGGCGTTATAACACAGGTATACCTTTAAGTTAGAACTGATGGTACAATTTATGATGTTAAGCATTTAGAAATAAATACCTCAAATTAAAGTATCTTTATTAGAAGTTGCTAGCAGAATTTTAAATACTCTTTTTCCATTAGCAATAAAAAGAGGACATGGAAGAGCTGAGTTCTCTAAATCCCTATTCACTATTTAAAAGATGGAAGTGAAGTGCTCAATATTGCCTAAATTGAAATCATACTTTTTTGGGTGAACAAATAATATATATGTTTTTAGGGAAGGTATCATAGCCCAATATTCTTAGAAATTCTCAACAATTCAAGCATAGATTTTAGGATTAAAAATCAACTAGAGACAAAGACATGAAATTCTGTCAGAAATTGCTTTCATACTTTTTTTGGATAAATGAATACAAATAATTTTAGTTTATCCAATATTTACTAATTTTCAACATGAACCAAATAAGGAGGCCCTGGGGAAAGGAAAGAGCATGGTTAATGAAGGATGGGATTAGGACCATGTAAGTATGAACAAAAGAGCTTCCTGATGTGAGAGGACCAAATCATGCCTGTGGAAAGGAATAGGCTTTCTTCGCAGTCTAATCAAAAACTTTTATATTACACACAAAGAAACAGATATAAGGCCAAGTCATACAGCATGCTACAGCAGTATTGAGACTGGAACCCAGGTTGTCTGCCTCTCCATCAGTTCTATTTAATGGATATTTATTGAATGCGTTCCATGTGTGAGACAGAAAGCTAATTGCTCAGGATATTCAATGAACCAAACAGACAAAAGCTTATACTGTAACAGATGGAGGCAGACAATCAAATATAATAAATAAGTAAATTTTATGATTTGTTAGGAGCAGGTAAGTGCTATGGAAAAAACAGAGCTGGGTAAGTAAGGATCGTCAATGCAGTCTGTGGGAAGGGGGTTTGTTTGTAATTTCAAATGTGTGGTCAGAGTAGCACTCATTTTAAAAGATGACATTCAAGCAAAGGTTTAAAGAAAGTGAGGAATGCATCATGCTAATATCTGCGGAAAGAGAATTCCAGAAAACGGAGCAGCTAGTGCCGATGCCCAGGAATGGGACCACGCTGGCTGTGTTCCAGAATCAGGCAGGAGGCCAGTCTAGGTGAAGGAAGTGGCAGATGAGGAGAGTAGTAGGAAATGGGATTAGGAGGGAAAGGAGCCAGGATTTATAGGCTGCTAGAGGCAATTGTTATAACTCTTAACTAAAACTCTGAAAGGAGTAGAAAGTCATTGGAGGGTTCTGCTCAGAGGAAAGTCATGGTGTGACTTAGGTTTTTAAAAGAATGACTTATGTATTAATCAGTTTGACTAATACCATAGACTGTGTGGCTAAACCAATAGTGATTTATTTTTTCATGATTCTAAAGGCTGGAAGTCTGAGATCACAGTCCCACTATGGTTGGGCTCAGGTGAGAGGTCTCTTCCTGGCTTGAAGATAGCTGCTTTTTTGCTGTGTCCTCACGTGATAGAGACTGAGCTCTCTGATATCCCTTATTATAAGGAGTGAAGCCCATTGGATTAATGATCTATCTTTATGACCACATTTTAACAGACCCTCTCTCCAAATATAGCCACATGGTGGGTTAGAGCTTACACATTTGAATTTCAGAGGGATGTGATTCAGTCCATAGCACCTGGCCAATATGTAAATAAAGATGATCAAAATTGGAAGCAGGGAAACCAGTTAGAAGAAATTTGCCATATTTCAGGCTAAAGCTGATTGTGAATTGACAGGACAATAGCTGTGAAGATAGTGGGAGTAGCCACGGATTCTGAACTGAATGTAGGTATGAGAAAGTCTCCAAAATATGGGGCCTGAGTCTTCATGAGAGGAGAAGGCCCATGGACAAGAGATAGTTTTTTTCTTTAATCTTTTATCTTTTTTTTTAGTTGTGGGTGGTCAGGGAGTGGGTTAAGATTTGGGGGAGGAAATAGTAGAATCTGTGAAACATGTTTTTATCTATATGTATCTATGTGTTTATTTAGTTGACATTCTTCTAGAAGAAAATGGATAATAAGATTGTCCCTATTAAGGTTGCTATTGATCTTAGATTTAAAATATTATAGTCAAAAGCCATGACATTCTCCAATGGCCTTTTGAATACTCCTTACTTTATTCATTCAACAAATATTTATCAAGTGACTACTATACACCAGCACTGTTCCATATACATGGGATACATAGGACACAGCAGTGAAATAAATGTCTTCATGGAGCTGACATGCTAATGGATGAAATAATCTAAACAAATATATCAAATATACATGGTCTATGTTAGATGGTAATAGAAGCCAAGAAGAGAAACAATGCAGAGACAAGACTGAATAGTAAGTATTGGGTCTAGGGGTTGAGTAGAGTGATTTCAACAGACTGATCAGAGAAGGTCTCCCTGATAAAGTGATATCTGAATAACATCTGAAGGAGATGAAGGATAGAAAGAGGAATATCTAAGGGAAAAACATTCAAGCCAGGCAGAGCAAAGGCTACAGTACATTTGGAAAATGTGAGGAATGGCAAGGAGGCCAGTGGGCAAAAGTGGAATGAGACAATACTATTTTGCCAGTGGGGGCCAATATCTTATTCAGAAACAGGTTCTGACAGTTGAGTAATATTTATAATCACATTTTTTTTTATTGGATATCTATCTCCACCTCTCCTGGTTGAGCATAAGAATAGTTTCTGTTGACGTTTGGATGACAGCAAAGCTGCCGGGTTGATTATGGACCTTTGAAATATCTCACATTGGGGATGGGAGAAGGAAATAGAGACAGGATATTTCCTATCTACAGTTGTGGATGCAAGTTACAGCGGGTCCTGTTGAGCTGTTTCCTTCATATATATACAAGTATACCATATTTTATTGTGCTTTGCTTTATTGTGCTCCACAGATACTGTATTTTTTTACAAATTGAAGGTTTGTGGCAACCCTGCATCAAGCAAGTCTATCAGTGCCATTTTTCCGACAAGCTTCAGCTCACATTGTGTCTTTGTGTTACATTTTGGGAATTCTCACAATATTTCAAACTTTTTGGTTATATTATGCTGATCTGTGATCACTGATTATGAATTACTGAAAGCTCAGATAATGGTAAGGATTTTTTTAGCAATAAAGTACTTTTTAATTAAGAAATGTACATTGTTTTTTAAGACATGATGCTCTTTCACACTTAGTAGACTACAATATAGTGTAAACATAACTTTTATAGGCACTGGGAAACCAAAAAGTTCACTTGACTTGCTTTATTGCAATATTTGCTTTATTGTGGTGGTCTGAAACCGAACCCACAATATCTCCAGGGTATGGCTGCATTTCTTACTGAAGGCATATTTCTAAACTGGTTGCATATATAACACATTTGCATAAAACTGAGAACACAATATAAAGTATTACTTGGGAAGTTGTGTGTGTGTGTGTGAGAAGGATTTCTGATGGTTGGTTTAGAATCAACAGGAAGAAAGCTAATTGTCTACATCATATGTTAGGTACTATCATATGTGCCATCTCCTATAATCTCCCAACCACTCCCCAAAGAAAACATTATCTTCCCTCTGTTTTGTGCAAAATCATAGAGCTCTTGTTCATCAATAGATGAATAATAGGTAAAACAATTTTTAAAAAGGAGAATAAAGAGGGAGGGTCAGTCTACTTGATTTTAAGACTTAATATTTAGCTGCAGTGATCAATGGAGGAAAGATAGCATTTTTGATAAATGGTGCTGCAGCACTTGGACATCTATACACAAGAACAAAACATAACAAAACAAAAAGCCTTTGACCTCTTACACCTTTGGAAAAATTAACTCAAAGTGGATTGCAGACTGAATGTAAACAAAAAATTATTAGAAAGAAAAATTTTTAGGTTCTAAGATTATGCAAAGAGTTCTTAGAATTGACACCAAAAAAGCATAATCCATAAAAGGAAAAACTGGTAAATTAGGCATCATCAGAATAAAACTTGCTGTGTAAAACTTCCTGTTAAAAGGATGAAAAAGATACCCTACAGAATAAGAGAAAATAATTGCAAACCATATAGCTTACAAACAACTGT